GAGAGAGAGAGAGAGAGAGAGAGAGAGAGAGAGAGAGAGAGAGAGAGAGAGAGAGAGAGAGAGAGAGAGAGAGAGAGAGAGAGAGAGAGAGAGAGAGAGAGAGAGAGAGAGAGAGAGAGAGAGAGAGAGAGAGAGAGAGAGAGAGAGAGAGAGAGAGAGAGAGAGAGAGAGAGAGAGAGAGAGAGAGAGAGAGAGAGAGAGAGAGAGAGAGAGAGAGAGAGAGAGAGAGAGAGAGAGAGAGAGAGAGAGAGAGAGAGAGAGAGAGAGAGAGAGAGAGAGAGAGAGAGAGAGAGAGAGAGAGAGAGAGAGAGAGAGAGAGAGAGAGAGAGAGAGAGAGAGAGAGAGAGAGAGAGAGAGAGAGAGAGAGAGAGAGAGAGAGAGAGAGAGAGAGAGAGAGAGAGAGAGAGAGAGAGAGAGAGAGAGAGAGAGAGAGAGAGAGAGAGAGAGAGAGAGAGAGAGAGAGAGAGAGAGAGAGAGAGAGAGAGAGAGAGAGAGAGAGAGAGAGAGAGAGAGAGAGAGAGAGAGAGAGAGAGAGAGAGAGAGAGAGAGAGAGAGAGAGAGAGAGAGAGAGAGAGAGAGAGAGAGAGAGAGAGAGAGAGAGAGAGAGAGAGAGAGAGAGAGAGAGAGAGAGAGAGAGAGAGAGAGAGAGAGAGAGAGAGAGAGAGAGAGAGAGAGAGAGAGAGAGAGAGAGAGAGAGAGAGAGAGAGAGAGAGAGAGAGAGAGAGAGAGAGAGAGAGAGAGAGAGAGAGAGAGAGAGAGAGAGAGAGAGAGAGAGAGAGAGAGAGAGAGAGAGAGAGAGAGAGAGAGAGAGAGAGAGAGAGAGAGAGAGAGAGAGAGAGAGAGAGAGAGAGAGAGAGAGAGAGAGAGAGAGAGAGAGAGAGAGAGAGAGAGAGAGAGAGAGAGAGAGAGAGAGAGAGAGAGAGAGAGAGAGAGAGAGAGAGAGAGAGAGAGAGAGAGAGAGAGAGAGAGAGAGAGAGAGAGAGAGAGAGAGAGAGAGAGAGAGAGAGAGAGAGAGAGAGAGAGAGAGAGAGAGAGAGAGAGAGAGAGAGAGAGAGAGAGAGAGAGAGAGAGAGAGAGAGAGAGATATAAATATTTTAACAACATTTAATGATGCATAATATTTATGGTATAATTTCATACTTTTCAAGCATAATGTTTATGCTTATAGATTTATGTAATATTTATTATCATTTATTTTTTTCTTATAAGAAACTTTTTCTTGATAGATTTTAAAAACTTTTTAAGTACTTTTACATTTTAATCCCATAAGGTATTTCCCGCTAATGAGCTTAGTTGCTGACACAGCAGATGATGTTAAATAATCAGTCAATCTTTCTCCTAGTCAAATTCTTTTGCCATTCTAAATTCAGGCGCCCCAATCTCTACTTCCTTGGTGCCTGCCGCCCCTTCTCGCTCTACCCATCGCACCAGACAGTCTAAACGTCCCCCCCCCCCCCCATCTTCTCCTCCCAAGTCCTCTCCTATACCGGACTCTTCCTCTGCTCTTCGAACGTCAGTCTCTTCTTCCTCCCCTCATAAGAAAACCTTTGTTTCTCAGTCCTCCCCCAACCAACTCCCTTTCAGAAACTCTCGAGGATATTCAAACCTTTCTAATCGTAGCCCCCCCCCCCCCATCCCTTCATCCACCTCCAATCCCTCCCCCTCCCCCTCCCTCTACACTCACAGTGACTGCTGACATCCATCGTCCTCCTTCTCATGTTCCTCTTTAGACCTGTACCCTCCATCTGACATAATCGTCCTTGACCGCCATCCCCCTTTTACAAAGCCCTGCCTTGCCCCACTTTCTCGCCCTCTTTACCCTTTTCAGTTCTGTGCTATCCTGAAGTTCTGTATAACATTTGACGTGTAGCACATTTAGTCAGTGAGTCATCACCTCCCTTCTTTACCCTTTTCCCTGACATACCTTCTAAAGAGCTACATGGTCTTTGATGTCTAGTATATTTATTTGCTTTTAACCATTAACCATGTAAGAGTGTGTGTGTGTGTGCATGTGCGTGTGCGTGTATGTGTGTGTGTGTGTGTGTATTATGTATGTGTATATATATGTATGTATACACACATACACACACATACACACACACACACACACACACACACACACACACACACACAGATATTCATATATATATATTCATATATATATATATATATATATATATATATATATATATATATATATATATATATACATACACATATATATATATATATATATATATATATATATATATATATATATATATATATATATAAATATATATATATATATATATATATATATATATATATATATATATATATATATATATATATATATATACATATATGTCTCTCTCTCTCTCTCTCTCTCTCTCTCTCTCTCTCTCTCTCTCTCTCTATATATATATATATATATATATATATATATATATATATATATATATATATATATACATATATACATTACACACACACACATATATATATATATATATATATATATATATATATATATATATATATATATATATATATATATATATATATATATATATATTATATATATATATATATATATATATATATATATATATATATATATATATATATATATATATATGTATCTGTGTGTGTGTGTGTGTGTGTGTGTGTGTGTGTGTGTGTGTGTGTGTGTGTGTGTGTGTGTGGGTGTGGGTGTGGGTGTATGTGTATGAGTGTAAGAGTGTGTAAAACTGCTGCTGACGTTGGCGATCATTATTTTGAACCTAGTTCGGTCTTGAGCGAGATGAAGAAGCTCTCCTTTCCGGACGCTGCCTGCTGCCAAATCATCCTAATACATTTTTCTCTGTCGACCTCTAGCTCTTGATCCATCAATTTTGCCTTCAACTACTAACTTTTCGAAGCCATCTTCTCTAACGATGTGACCGAGAAATCTAAGTTGCCCTTGAGTTATATTTTTAATCATTTGCCTTTGTTCTTTTTTTTTCTAAAACATCTTCATTTCTGACCATGTCTGTCCATTGATTCCAATTTCTTTTTCATATCTTTACTGATGGTCCATGTTTCACTTCCATATAATAAAGCTGACCAAACATAGCATCTCAGAAACCGTTCCTTTGTTTTGACTGTTAGTTAATATGCTCTTCTTTTCCATAAATTTTGTCTTTGCAGTTGCTATTCTACGTTTATTTTTTTATCACTTCTGTCGTCACTAGTAAGAGTGCTCCCAAGATACTTGAATTCATACACTTGATCTATTGCTTATTCATTTAACTGGAGATTGCATCTAGAAATTGTCTTGTTCTTGATAAATACCATCACTTTCGTTTCCTTTTTGTTTATATTTAGACCTCTTTCTTCACTTTCTACTTTCAGATTTTTTAACATTTGTTGAAGATGTTCGTCGTCCGATATCAAGACTGTGTCGTCAGCATATCTGATATCAAATAGCGACTGACCATTCACTTTGAATTTCGCTAAGTTGCTCATTTTTCTCATAATTAGCTCAGCATATAAGGAGAATAAATCTGGAGACAAGACACATCCTTGACGGACTCCACGCTTGATATTAATCCAATCACTGAGTTCACCATCTAATGAAATGATTACAACCTGTTCCCAGTTTAGCTTTTTTAGCAATCTTAGGTCTTTACTATCTAAATCTATTTGTTGCAAGTCGTTCATGATTTCTTGATGCTTTACCCTGTTAAATGCTTTTTCATAATCTATAAATACCATATACAAGTTCTTATGCATTTCTATTGCTCTTTCAGCTAGTATTCTCATGACACATATTGCGTTTCGCGTTCCCTTGTTCTTCTTGAATCCAAATTGACGAAAAGAGACTTCTGATTGAATCTTTTTCTTAAGTCTATTCATTATTACGCGTAGAATTATTTTGGTGATGTGACTCATGAGGCTTATGAGTCTGTAATTGTTGCAGTTTAAGAGGTCTCCTTTCTTTGGTATAGTTATAAAAACAGACTCCTTCATTTGTCTAGGTATGACTCCATTGTTATATATTTTATTGGCAAGCTCTTATATCTTCTCGGTTCCAAGATCATCACATGCTTCTATCATTTCTTTTGAGATTTTATCATTTCCAGTAGCTTTGTTGTTTTTCATGGATTTGTTGGGGAGAGAAACAGTCCACCTGTCACGTCCCCTTCAGGGGTAAGGGTTAGGCAACTAAAGCAGGGGAATACCGTGTCCATATATATATGTATATATATATATATATATATATATATATATATATATATATATATATATATATATATATATGTGTGTGTGTGTGTGTGTGTGTGTGTGTGTGTGTATATATTATATATATATATATATATATATATATATATATATATATATATATATATATATATATATATATATATATATATGAACCGTATTGACAAATGTAGATAAGGCATGAATGAGAATGAATATCTTCACAATACAAGAGACGATACAACCGGTCAAATACATCTCTTGTAATGCGAAGATATTCATTCTCATTCATACCTTATCTACATATATATATATATATATATATATATATATATATATATATATATATATATATATATATATATATATATATATATATATATATATATATACCTTCCAACTATATATATATATATATATATATATATATATATATATATATATATATATATATATATATATATATATATATATATATATATATATATACCTTCCAACTATATATATATATATATATATATATATATATATATATATATATATATATATATATATATATATATATACCTTCCAACTATATATATATATATATATATATATATATATATATATATATATATATATATATATATATATATATATATATATATATATGTATATACACGTATGTATTTGTGTGTATTTTTACCAGTGTACGAAAGCATATGTTTTTTTATTAAGACAGATATGCTGTTTTATCATTTTCAAATAACACTCGATGATAGTAATACGCAGTGTCAAAAGTACAATTTATTACAAGTACAACAATCAACATGAGACCGGTGAAGCGTCAGCGATTCAGCAGTTAGATGCAGCATCCCCGTGTCGAGAGGCGGCGCAGACGGACGCCAGCAGCCCGACCGCCCCAGCCCAAGTACCTTCCTAAACCACGACCTCTACAAGCGTCAGTTGCCTCGCCGTCACTCGCCGCGGGGCAGCCTGGGCCATGACGCCCGGCCTCGGCCACGCGGGCTCGTCCGGGCGGAGCAACAGCGTTTCTTTGAACGTTCAGCATTAGTGCCGTTTTCTTGGGAGCGTGTGCTGTCTGTCTCAGTGGGAATTAATGCTGGACGGAGGTTTTGTTAAATTTCTTTGGTTATTTGCTTGTGGGACGTTAGTACTAGATAATATTGATAATTCAAGTCAAGGAATGCATATAGATAATGTCTCAGCGGGGATTGTATATCTTGTGTATATTATATATGAGTGTATATGTATGTGTGTGTGTATATATATATATATATATATATATATATATATATATATATATATATATATATATATATATATATATATATATAATAGATCGTTATTTGTTACGCACGTATAGTACTTGCAAATACACTTTCATTCAAATTAGACAAAGAATTCAAACGCCAAATGCTCGAAAACACTCACGCGCACACGCACGCACACATGTTCAAGCACAGTTTGCCAGAACGAAACACATCGACCTTAGTAACACAAAAAAGCGTTTTCTTAATAACGAACAATTACCAGGTAGTTACGAGTCCACGTCAGCTTCTTCCAGAATGTAACCCTTTAGCTTATCATATTGCTATTTACAAGTCTCATATATACACGCTTGCACGGTGACCTCCCATCCAAGTTATTATCCCTAAGATACAAAGGGTCACTGCGAGTGAATGACGACCTCTGACCTCCGCTGGGTGAGTGACCTTCCTTAAGTCAACCTCAAAAACAAGAAAGGAAAGGGAGAAAAAAATCGTTTAATAAAGACGAATACACAGAGTGACTTGGACGGCGATCAGGTCACCCAGGAGCCGCCAGGGCGCGGGAAGGACGAGGCTCAGGGAGCGAGGAAGCGCGAGAACCAGGCCAGGGTGAAGGCGGGGACGAGGCTCAGGGCGAAGGGCGAGGCCGCCTGCGGGGCGGAGGAGATCTGCTCCACGATGGCCGGCTGCTCCAGGTCCTCTGGGTCCTGCGGGAAGCACACGGGCTCAGGAGTTGGAAGGTTAACGCACATGCACTAAGTGTCGCGTATCACTGATGGCATTGCATGTGAATTTAGAGAAAACAGCATTGAAATATTTTCTTGAATCATTAGCTCAGCCTCTCGCGCCGTCTCTCGAGGCACTCACCTGCAGCTGCCTATTGAGTTCGATGATCTGGTCTTGGCACTGGACGCTGTCGCACTCGTCCAGGTCGCAGATGTCGCACAGCGTGGCGGGGAGAGCCTTGTAGAACCTCCTCGCGCGCCGGGCTGGAGAGGGGAAGGGGGAGGGGGAGGGGGTTAGAGAGTTCCTTACATGCTTAGGGGGGGGGGGCGTAATGTGTCGTCGCGTCATATAGGAATGACGACAGCGGAATTAGGGGTGCGGGACTTTTTCATCCTCAGGAATCTACTTTTGCACCGATGAAAGGCATTTGATTCCTTTCACCACAGCTACAGTACTTGGTCAGTATAATAGCCAGACCGAACACAGAATTCGAGCACGTGGGTTAGCTTACATGTGTCGTAGTAGTCGTAGACCTGGACGGGCGTGGGTTGCTGGAAGGCGACCTTGTTAATCCTGTAGGCGGAGACCGTCGGGCACACCTCCTGGGCTGTCAGGTAGTCGAAGTAGACCAGCACGCCTGAGTCGTCGCTCTTCTTCTCCACAAGTTTCACGCCCGTGTAGTCATACAGACCTGCCGAGGAAGGTTCAGGGCGTCGCTGTAGGTGTCTTAGGAACACAGTTACACACCCACCCACACACGAACGCGCGTGCACACGCACACGCACACACATACAGACACACACACACACACACACACACACACACACACACACACACACACACACACACACACACACACACACACACACACACACACACACACACACTTACCGGGAATAAGATCGTTGTCGACGATATAACCCGAGGGAAGCGAGACGTCCATCACCGCCATGTTGCTGTTGTTTCCTCCGGTGTATCTGTCGGGGAAAGGAAAGAGGTCAGGAAGGGGGCAGCGAGGGGCTCTCGGCGACGTCCTCTGGCCTCGCGAGAGGACAAGAGGATGCTGCGACGCCGGAGACTACGAGGTTTTAGGAAACACCAGTGTTTAATGTGTGTACACACACAAACACACCTTATATATATATAAGGGCCTCTCCCTCCCCCGCCCCGCCCCAAGGGCCTCTGCCACCTACCCCGTGCAGGCGGTGAGGCGCAGGCGGTTCGTGTCGGTCGTAGTGTCGAGCTGCGGGTCGAGCGAGAAGGCCGGCTTCGGGCCGGTGACCCTGACGTTGTAGTGGTACGTGACCTGCAGCACGGCCACGCCCGACCCCGAGGCCGTTATCTCCACTTTGTCGGTGTCTGCGGGCAGCTGGGGGTAAGAGCGGATAGATTTTATTTTATGAGATCTTTGAGTATCATTCTCTCTCTCTCTCTCTCTCTCTCTCTCTCTCTCTCTCTCTCTCTCTCTCTCTCTCTCTCTCTCTCTCTCTCTCTCTCTCTCTCTCTCTCTCTCTCTCTCTCTCTCTCTCTCTCTCTCTCTCTCTCTCTCTCTCTCTCTCTCTCTCTCTCTCTCTCTCTCTCTCTCTCTCTCTCTCTCTCTCTCTCTCTCTCTTGTTTAATTCTTTAAGGAAGATAAGATATGGATCTTGTGTTAACCTTTAAGGAATATCGGATAAATTGATTGGCACAAAATCTAGATCATCAGTATTATCCCTCTCCCTCTCCCTCTTCTTCTTCCTCTTCCTCTCCCTTCCTCCCTCCCATCCGCCATTACCTCCACACGCTGCAGCAACATAGTGTTATCCCTCGTGACCTGCACGTTCTTGCCCCGAGCGCCGTAGATGAGCCTGACGTTCACCTGCGGGTCGGTGGTCGTGAGGCGCTCGGCGAGGGCGGCCAGCGCTGCCATGCCCACCACGGTGTCCTGCGGAGGGGAAGCATCTTACTGGACGCGTGCGTGAGTCAGTGGGTGGAGGGCGAGTGACTCTGTGAGTAAGTATGAGTGTGTGAGTGTGTGAGTGTGTGAGTGTGTGTGTGTGTGTGTGTGTGTGTGTGTGTGTGTGTGTGTGTGTGTGTGTGTGTGTGTGTGTGTGTGTGTGTGTGTGTGTGTGTGTGTGTGTGTGTGTGTGTGTCAGTGTGAGTGTGAGTGTGAGTGTGCATGTGTTTGTGCGTGTGTGTGTGTGTGTGCATGTATCTGTGTCTGTGTCTGTGTGTGTGCGCGTGCACGTGTGAATGCGAGTGTGAGTGAGAGAATGAGTGAATGAATGAGTGTATGAACCATCGGAACCAACGAATGCAGAGCCAGGTCCGCCTCAGAGCCTCCCGGGCCTACCTGCGTGGACTGGAATCCTCCGTACTGGTTCCTCTGCCTCGTCAGCCACCTCATGATGGGGAGAGCGTCGCGCGTGAGGCCCCTGAGCACGTAGGTGAGGAGGCCGTAGCTGGTGGTCTCCACGTCGAGAGGCCGCGACTCCACTGTGGTTTCCAAGTTCACCTCCAGGGGCTGCCATACCCACCACTTCTGCTCGTCTGCGGGCGCGAGGGACAAGGACTTGGTCGGTCACATAATCAAACATCGTCTATCACGCAGTTTCTTCATTCAATGAAAATAAAACTACCCGTCGCAGCTGTAATGACTGACCTTTGACTTCGGCCTTGCCCTCTAGCTTGTAGAAGGCGGTGTCTCGCTGAGGGTGGTCGGACATGTGGAGGGCGTAGGTGCTGATGGCCAGGCTGTACACGTCCTCTATATCGTCTATGTTGCTTGCCAGGAAGTCTACGGCTCTGTTCACCACGTTTCGCACCTTGGGCGACGGAGGGTTCTGGGAAGGTAAAACAGGCTTGGTTTAATTCATATTGTGATTATTCTTTTCTGTCCCTTTGTTTCGTTTTTTTTATTACCCTTTGATTTACATTAACAAATATAAAATGTTGAAGAGATAAAGCAATACGACTAAATAAGTACAGCTGCTCCAACGTTTCCCTTCTTTCTACTCTTCCTTTCCCTTTTTCTCTTATTCTCTCCCTTTGTCTTCCACACCCGTATTCCAGGATGTCTCCTTTTCTCCCTCTCCTTCTTGCTTCTTCTCTCCCTCTTCCCCTTCTCCTTCTCCATTTTCCTTCTTCTCTCCCTCTTCCCCTTCTCCTTCTCCATTTTCCTTCTCCTTTCCCTCTCCTCATCTCCCTCCCCTTTTTCTTCTCTTCCATTTCCTTCCTCCTCCTCCCCCCTCCCTCCCTGGCGCCCATTAATCTCACCTCGACCGTCAGGAGGGCGATGAGCACATAGGCCGTGAGCGCGACGCCTTTGCCGGACCCGCCCTGCATGGCCTCGTTGTTAACGGTGCCGACCTCCTTGAAGCTGCCGTCCACCTGCTGCAACTGCGTCAGCCACTCCACGGCCTGCTGCACCACCTCCTCCTCAATATCGATGTGCCTCGAGGCCTCGGCGAGGGACTTGGCCACGAAGGCGGTCAGCCTTTGGAAAGCAAGGGGGATTTTTACGTGGGATTCTGCCTCTTGCATTTGGTGGCTGCCTTTGCAGTGTAGACAATATCACTGCGTACGAATTCATGTCTAATCTAAGCAAACTGCTAGACGTTAATAAAATACGCACGTGTTCTGTCAAATACGTTATCATTTTCCTTAAACGGAGGTTAGTAAATTGTACAGATATCATACCTATTTCTTATTCAGGTATTGTTACTGGTCTATGGCATATTTACTCAAGTAAAATAATATTTAGATTCCAAAGAAGTAGTTCAATTTTCTTTTAGTAAGCAATGATTACATCTTCAACAAGCCATGTTGGAATAAAATAAAAGAATAAAATCTTGTCACACAGTGTCATCAACAAGAGCAGTGGCCTATGAACTCGCCCCACTCACCACGTGCTGCCCGACTCGTCTCGCATTCCGAAGGCGCTGAAGGAGCCATCGTCGTGCCTGAAGGACAACTGGTGCTGATATCCGGTCTCCAGATGCCGTCGCGCTTGGCCCTGCAGGTTCTCGCTCAGCTGGTTCTTGTTCTGTCGGTTCGGGACATACGAACGTTGTTTAATTCTGACACTACGTGAAATTATAGTAAACATTAGCAATTTTTATAATTCATTTCATCCCTCACTTCTTATCGTTGAAGTAGATCTCATCTATTAATACCTAATTCTGTAACCAAAACTGATATTTCAACTTGCGTTAAAATCGTACAAACTCCTCGCTACTTTCCCGTTGTTTAAAGCCACGAAAAGGGCTTCAGGCGGAAATCAACCCCTGCTTTTCTGACCGTAGGATCCCCGGCGCCGTTCCCGAGGACCCGCCACTCACCTTGAGGTACTCCATGAGCACGATGTTAGGGACGAGCTTGGCCATGTTCTGCTCGCCGCAGCCCGTCGGGAGCTCCAGCAGGTTATGCAGGTCTGACAAGGCCGCCCCAAGGATGTCACCTGTCACGGGAACACGTATTTGTAAGGTCGTGTGGTGGTTGCGTATTAACGAACGGGTGTGAGTTCTTAACTATTATATCCATCTGGGTCTTGATGACTGAATTATGAGGAATGTTATTGTGAAATTTCCTATATAAGCATTCTTACTGAATATAGTTTGGCACTTATTGCAAGGACCCCCCCCCTTCGACCCCCGGTTATCTTTTGTTTACGTTCTCTGCCAACAAATGCCTACCGATGACGGAGACTTGGATGGCCTTGGAGTCATTGACGATGTTGGGCGGATGAGTGATGTTGATGCTGGTGCTGACGGAGGACTGCGACCTCAGGTCCAGCAGGACGGCCTTGTTCACCGTAATGCGCGATCCCTCGGGCTTTTCGGGAGACAGAGATGGTCATCAATTATAGGGAGAAAGCTGTCATATGGAGCACAGAAGATATATCGAAAAGTATTTTGAAATAAATAGTTCTTAACGAAATAAATTGTTTTGAATGAATGAGTCTGTCTGATGAGCAACTGCCCTGCAGCTTCATCTCATCTCCCCGCAGAGAGCCCGCGCGCACTCCCTCCGCTTTCCACAGCGATCAAGATCCACTTCTCGCCCTCGTCCCTACCTTCACCAGCAGCTGCTTGACGACCACGTCCACGGCGCCGTCTGTCGTGGACGTGACCTTGATGGGGATATTGCCCAGGCTGTGCGGGACGACCATGAAGCTGACGGGGGCGCCGCTGCCCGAAGCAACCTTCACCTGCTTGCTCTTGCTCTTGGACGGAGCTGCAGAAGGAGCAGAGGAACTGATGCTTTGCTGTTTCTCGACATAACATAACGGCACTCTTCACCGGTTTCTATTTTAGCATAGCACGCGGAATGTTATCTTTAAAAAGGCATTTTCAAAAATAATTAAATAATGACTATAGCAAACAATAACAAATATGTGAATAGACAAAGGTTGACCGGTCTGCCGCCAAACTCACATCCTTGGTCGATCTCGTTGGCGAAGTCCGCGAAGAGGAAGTCGCCAGGGTTGTCGAGCATGACGTCGGCGATGATGTCACTTTCTCCGTAGTTGAAGACAACCATCTCCACCGCCACGGCCTCGCCGCGCACCACACCGGCCTCCGGAAGGTGCAGTGACGTGAAGAACGGCCGGAAGACGCGCAGCTGCGGAGAGGGCGCGCAGTAAGGGCGCTTGCCTCAAGCATTACATTTCCTCGACCTCCCCTGTCATGCTCTCTCTCTCTCTCTCTCTCTCTCTCTCTCTCTCTCTCTCTCTCTCTCTCTCTCTCTCTCTCTCTCTCTCTCTATCTCTCATCTCTCTCTACTCTCTCTCTCTCTCTCTCTCTCTCATCTCTCTCTCTCTCTATCTCTCATCTCTCTCTCTCTCTCTCTCTCTCTCTCTCTCCCTCTCCCTTTCCCTCTCCCTTTCCCTCTCCCTTTCCCTCTCCCTTTCCCTCTCCTCCTCCTTCTCCCTCCTCTATCTCCCTCTCCTCCCTCATCTCCCTCTCTCCCTCCCTCTCCTTCTATATCCCTCTCCCTCTATATCCCTCTCCCTCTATCTCCCTCTCCCTCTTCCCTCTCTATCCCCGTCATGCAACCCCCCACCCTCTCTCTCCTCTCCTCTCTCGTCTCTCAACTCTCCTCCCTCTCTCTCTCTCTCTCTCTCTCTCCTCTCTTCTCTCTCTCTCTCTCTCTCTCTCTCTCTCTCCTCTCTCTCTCTCCTCTCTCTCTCTCTCTCTCTTTCTCTCCCTCTCCCTCCTTCTATCTCCCTCTCCCCCTCTCTCTCTCCTTCCTCTCTCCCTCACCCTCTTTCCCTCTCTATCCCCATCATGCACCCCCCCTCTCTCTCTCTCTCTCTCTCTCTCTCTCTCTCTCTCTCTCTCTCTCTCTCTCTCTCCTCTCTCTCTCTCTCTCTCTCTCTCTCTCTCTCCTCTCTCTCTCGATCTTCCTCTCCCTCTCCCTCTTCCTCTTCCTCTTCCTCTCCCTCTCGATCTTCCTCTCCCTCTCCCTCTTCCGCTTCCTCTTCCTCTTCTCTTCCTCTTCCTCTCCCTCTCCCTCTCCCTCTTCCTCTTCCTCTCCCTCTCCCTCCCCTCTTCCTCTTCCTCTCCCTCTCCCTCTCCCTCTTCCTCTTCCTCTCCCTCTCCCTCTTCTTCTTCCTCTCCCTCTTCCCCTTCCCTTCCTCTCCCTCTTCCTCTCCCTCTTCCTCTTCCTCTTCCTCTCCCTCTCCCTCTTCCTCTTCCTCTCCCTCTCGATCTTCCTCTCCCTCTCCCTCTTCCGCTTCCTCTTCCTCTTCTCTTCCTCTTCCTCTATCTCTCCCTCTCCCTCTTCTTTTCCCTCCCCCTCTCCCTCTTCTTCTCCCTCATCCTCTTCTTTCTCTCCCTCTCCCTCTTCTTCTTCCTCTCCCTCTCCTTCTTCTTCTTCCTCTCCCTCTTCCTCTTCCTTTCCCTCTCCCTCTCCCTCTTCCACTTCCTCTCCCTCCCCCTCTCCCTCTTATTCTCCCTCTTCCTCTTCCTCTCCCTCTCCCACTCCCACTGTGTGTTTCTGTCTCTATTTCTTCCTTCTCTTCTATTTTTTTATTTGTTCCCTTTTTTATCATTCTTTTCATCTTTTCTTTCCTTTACTGCCCCATCTTCTATCTCTTTCTCCTTCTCCTCCACTTCCCCTTTCCCTTCCTCTTCCCCTTTCCTTTCCCCTTCACGTTCCTTTTTCCCTCCTTCTCCTCCTCCTCCCTCTTCCCCTCGCCTCACCTTGGCTGACCTCTGGGACACCCCGAGGCCGAAGAAGTCGTCGACGGCGAAGGCGGACACCATGTAGGATGTCATGGCGTCCGGGGCCTTCTCCCGGAGGGTCACGACGCCGTTGAACCTGCAATGTTGACACCTGTTGCTCACCTGTATCCCGTACCCTCCTATTCCTTTTCATATTTCATTTTATTTATATCCAAGTTGTAACTTCACATTTTTATATTTCAGTTGGTCATTAGCTGTTTCGGTTACTGTGAAATACCAAATGAGTCTATGTATGGAGGATGTCCTGGGCGTATCTGCAATCGTGAAAAGAGTCGGGAACAAATCAGTAATCCTAAAATTAGCATGCATCGAAATCATGCAACGTATCCATGCAATGTATGCTGTTATCCAACAAGCTTCCATACCTAAATATATCCCTACGACATGCTCTCGCCATGCACATGCTTGCTAGACATCAAGAAGTCTGATGTATATATGAAAGTGGCAATCCAAGCATTACCTTGACGCATCCATCATTTACTTAAACCCAGCAGGGTTTTTTTTTTTTTTTTAGAAATGCCTGCGCCAGGTTTCACTATAATTACAAACAATAAAACAACAACACACTCATGCAGATAATGACAAACAGGAGGCAATACTGCCAGCACTACGGGCATAAGCAGTAAGGGCTAACCAGCCAAGACTAGCATGGTGTTAGTCACTCACGTCAGGTGCTCCGGGCTTAGTCTGTTTCATCGCGCCAACAGATCGTCAGTTGGACGTCTGGGCGTCTAACGAACGTAAGTCTTGTGTCAGAAGTCTACTCAGCATCCATTACCTCAGTCAAGTTCGTGTTACTGTCCGTTGTTAATGTTAACTTTAAATATAGTATTAATGCCACCATTACTGCAACTTGCTGCAGTGTTAAGTTCAAATAGTCCTTTGTCACGGATACGGCCAGATTTTGAGGTTATGCGTTACTTCCGTGTGCTGCCACCCTGGCAGTAACGCAGCGATGCTCAGAAAGCTGATTATCACAGCAAAGCCCC